CGCCCCCCGAAAAAAACCCCAAACACAACACTTTGTAAATGGAAATGCCATTAGCAAACGGAAATACAAATAGGAAGAGGCAAAGACGACACACTGTAGAATCATGCAGCTACATCGTATAATAATGAACTTTTCCACCCAAACACTCTCGAAAACAGGAGAGATCCGGGGAAGGTCTCCACAACAAGAACACATGAGATGACCATTGTACTAGTCAGGAGCACAAGTCTTTTCGGCATAAGGAGCAATCCAACTCAATTTTGTTAATCCTTCATTTGGAGCCGTGATGAATTGTTTAATTCAAACTAAAATATGAGCCTCTTTCAGGATTCTCTTAAACCTCCAACTTCTAACAAAAATGGTAATCAATTTTAATTTTAATTAGTTTTTAATGAGACTTGGAAAGAATGCTTGAATATTTGCATTTTTAATAGTGAATATGATTTTAGAGTACACGTGATCAGACTTTCTAGGAAAAAGAAGGCAGAGAGATATTTAAAATGGCCAGGTTTTATTGTCACCTTTTTCTAATTGAACATTTCCAATGATCTTTATTAGTTGTTTGTCTCAAATAGCAACCCATTTGTGGAACAAAAACCTGGATGGTAAACTTGAAACAGAAAATATTTTTCATCCTTACTTTAAATATGTTGCTGAATTTAATTAGAGAAGTACAATTGGTACAATTCTAGCTGTCTTCTAGTACCTGGTAGTTATTTCTGATCTGGTTCATACAGCATTTGCACCCTTATGCATTGGAGTTTGAGATTATGATACTTATCTGTATTTAAAATAGAAGTTTTGGAACATAAGAGAAAGACATGTGGCTGTCTGCCCCTCTTTTTTTCTGTTGCAAAGAATGAATCAACTGAGAGATGGTTAATATATGTATGGAGAGAGGAGGCTTTTATAGTCCTACATTGACTTTGTTTAGAAGTGGGAAATAAATGGGGCTTTCTTTTTAATTCTTAATCAAGTTAGCTCCAATGAGCTTTCTGAACTTCACTGAAAATCCACTTAATGCCAGCTTGGGTATAGTTTTGGGTTAGTGAGTTTCTTTTTTAGCTAATTGGGTTGGAAAAGAGTCTGTAGTTGGGCTAGGGGGAGAGAAGCTGAGAGAGCAGCTCCATCTCCCTTTTTAAAGAATTCTCAGCAAGGCTGGAGAGGTGTTAAGTGTTCAGTCAAAAATTGCTTGTCTGCACACTGTATTACTGGTGAATTTCTGCACAGAAATTTCAATAACAAAGTTCATCACGATCTGAATTTTTACACCTTTTCTGAAATCACCCATATACTAACAAGCTATAATTTCAGGCAGGTAAAATGTCTTATATCATCATACCATGATTAAAGTTTATGCAAGACTAGTCTGATGTTTGTGATTGTCTTTATGTTTGTATATAGCCCATTAAGTGTGCACAGCAATTTATCTATCAGTGGTAGACGCTAACTTAAAAACATGTTAGAAACTATATAAATTGAAAATAACTGTGTATCAAATATGAGTGCAGTATAAAAGAACTATTTAAATAGGGACAGATATGAATGTAGCTTTGTATGAATTACTTTTTTATTATGACTTCAATACTTGAGGGAAGGTTCAGACTTCCCATAGTTAGAAATCTAGCAGGATAGTGCTTAGAGTCAGGGTTTGAATTACAAATGATTGTTTTGTCTATCTGCTGCCAAAGATTGAACTTTCTTGATATGTTTTCTAAAGCTCATATTAATATGCTTTTCAACTGTCTGTTTCAGCAGTTGTGCTATGTTAATGTGTAGGCATGTTCTAATTTTGCATGTAGCTCAGGGAGAATATTTCATTGTTCAGACATTGTGCTTGCTCTTCAGGGGTAGTCAACCTTCATTTTGTGGTTATCTCCCTTCTTTTCTCTTTTCTCATTCATATTTTGGGGAGCAAAACAATGAGTTGACACTACTGGTGTCCCGAGGGGTGATTGTGCTGTTGCAGGACACTAATGCGTAGTGCAGACCCATTCTTGAGCCTGATACGTGTATTGAGCTGGAGACTGGAAGAGGTAGCATAGAGCTCTGTGTGGGTGCCTGATGCTATAAAGGTTCTCAGATGCAGGTGAGCTGCTTTGGGTTGGCACTTTCAAATAGCTTTAGACACTTTTGCACTGAGAGAGAAGTTTAAAAAGCAAACACCCCCCACCCCACCCCCAAACACAGCACTAGAGTTAGTATCTCTTATGTTGCTTCTGGAAGGAAAAAAATATATAACTCTTTTAAGAATTTGGATGGTACGTTAGCCCTAGAATATCCTAGGGAACCTCAAAAATGGTGAATTTTAAGAAAAAAGTTTCTTATGGAATGTCAGTATAATTCTGTGGCATTTAAGGGCTTCTGAAAGCACAGGCATATATAGTTGCATTGGGTCTTTTCAATTGCTAGAAACCAAATGGTAATCAACAAGCCTTAATATTTGATGTTTACTTGAAAATAGCTCCTCTAATCACACTTCCACTGTACTGATGTTTTCAGTTGTAATAATATTGAAGATTTCCACTGATTCAGTGTTTAGCTTCTTCAGCTGATTGTTATGAGGGATGACAAAAATGGGCAACAGGAGTTCATTTCCCCAAGATTTTATGTTTGCGCATTGGAAGAGGATGCCAAGTTTTGTTTGTGCAGGAATGAGCTTGATGTAGTAGCAGGTCACTCTCTAGCCTTTAAAATACTGAATTTCTCCGTTTTTTGTCACTAGCCCTCTCCCCATAGTGTGAGGCTGATGGTGAGAAAGTAGTGGTGGTTCTAATGAGCAGCTGACAGGATCAAGCTCTGTATTCACTATTAAGGTTTTTGAATTTCTTGTAAGCTGTGGTGGTGGTGTATGGCTGCGCTGTTTTAATGAAAATGCCTTCTCCCTACGTAAGTTACAGGAGAAAAGACCTTTCTTTTTGCGATGGCTTGGAAAATGATTTTTTGGACTTGGCAGCTAAAGTAAGAGTATTTATTTCTACAATCTGCAATATTACAAATAAGCTTTCCCCCCTCCTCTTTTCCTACAGAAAAACAGTTTGAGAATATTTGTTTCTAGATATAACTCTTGTCCATAGCACATTGCGGTCCAACCTTAACACTTCTAAATAAGTCGCAATGGAAAGTCACCTTTTTGATGTAAACTAGTTTAACGTCTCTGTGTGACTCTGCTTCATTAAAAGAGAGTTAATGTAGAGAATGTAAGGAAAAAATTAGGAGCAAATCAACTAATATAATCTGTTTTTCTTTTGAACTAATTTTTGTAGAAATCAGTATATGGATTTTTGCAGTTTAACACTAATTTTCAAACAGTCCAAGAAAACTGTTTAAGGCATTGTCTGTAAACATTTCAGTACTTCATCTGAATAGAAAAGCAGATAAAAGCTTGATTCTTTTGAAGTAGTCATGCTCTGAGATGCCATAGACCACATCTCCAGATAGTGTTGGGGAGTGTGTATAGGCTTCTTATTCACTGAACAACACTTAAGAAAAACTTTCTGATTTCAGTAGGGCCTCTTGATTTTCATGATGTTTCCTCCGGTGGTTTGTTGCTCAGAAAGGCTAACTAATTTTGAGTGCCCAGTTTGTTTCCTTAGGTGGCTTTTTCAGAGCTGATGAGGTCCTGAGGCTCTCATGGACTGACTGAGGCATGCTGAATGAATGAGCTCTTGAAAAACAGTTCATGTTGTCCAGATCCTGTTTGTGCCTTCAAGAAAGGGAGACTATAATCTGAAAATCTGCCTGTTAAAATCTGGTTCCCTATAGCTACCCAAGTGGGGTTAAGTGTATTGATCTGAGTGACTGAGCAGGGAATGACTGCCTCATCTCCCTCTCCATTTTATTTTTCTTTTGGGGTGTAACATGGCACAGTGCAGTCTGTTGCAGATGCACATGAGAAAGATTATGATTTTATAGCCACTTTCATTACTAAATTTGTTATGGGAAATTAATTTAGAACTTAGACAATTGTGTTCCTGTTAATGGTGAAGCCTATGTTTGATTATATTTTTTTTTTCCCCCCCTTAAAGAAAAACTAACAGGAATCTTGCCTAATGGCAAGATTTTCTTTTATTTGCAGTGTTTCATAAAACAAATTTCTTAGTAAAGAGGAGATAGGATTTTTACATAATTGCTAATCTTAACCTCTAGTCATATGGAATTTTTTGACTGGGGCAAATACGACTCATTGTGTGTTCTGATGCACACCATCCTGAGCATTTTGATAGAGGAAGAGTATTTCTGTAATTAAGGTATTCTATACAAAATGTGATAATGCAGCTGGGTATTTTGCTTTTATTCTAAACCACTTTTGTTAGCTCTGTAGTCCTTCAACAGTACATTAATTACATATGTATCCAACTTGGATAAAAAACCTGAAAAAATATGTTGTTTCATATTTGAAAAGGATGTATGTTTTCTTGACCAATTTCTTTTTTAACAGGCATGGTCCTTGTGCGAAGTGAGAATGGGCAGTTGCTGATGATCCCTCAACAAGCCTTGGCGCAGATGCAAGCACAGGCACATGCCCAGTCTCAGCCTCAAAATACTATGACTCCTCGTCCTGCTACACCTACCAGTGCTCCTCCAGTGCAGATATCGACAGTGCAGGTTAGTTCAGTAATTTGTAGTGTTAAAAACCGTAAGATATTTTTTCCTGTCAAGAATACACCAGAAAGTAAGGTATGATGTTAGTGATTTGAAGAAACCATTGGTCAACCTGGTGCTATACCGGCTTTTCCACATGGCATAGGCATTATGTTTTGTTCCTAACTCTGTTACAGTTTGGATGTTACTCATGAAAAATATTTTTACCTAGCTGAATGGCGTTAAGTTTAAAACTGTTTGATATAAAGAAGACCATTCAAGACCATATATGGTTAATGTGTAGAACTCTTTTCCCCAAAGAATCATTATTCTATGTAAGACTAAAAGAAAAAAGTGGATATGGGTACATGTATACTGAGATCATCACAGTTGCATTAAGACTAGAAGTACTTCTCACAGTTTTATAGTGGTCCAGATGCGTTCTTTTGTATCTGTAATAATGGCAACTATCCAGAGACAAAGCACTAGATAAGGTAGATTATACTTAAATATAGGATCTAATGTGTTTGGTTTTTTCCTCTTCACCAGGCTCCAGGAACGCCTATTATTGCACGACAGGTGACACCAACTACTATTATCAAGCAAGTGTCTCAGGCTCAAACAACAGTGCAACCCACAACAACGCTACAGCGTCCTCCTGTTGTGCAAGTGAGTTTGTAGAAAAGTAATGTATGCATGAGATACATCAGTTAAGATTAGCTGAAAACCTGCTTGAGACTGCCAGAAATATAGGAGATATAATTGCTAAGTGCATGGGAGAAATATATTTTGGATTATCCTTTCTAAAACATTTGCAGATCTCAAATTACTTTATATTTTGGATGTATATGTGTAATTTTTATATGTATAGTATTATTATTTCATATTGTACCTATATGCATATGTATTTAAAGGTGTCCTGTTATTAGTTTGTATAATCACAGAACTGACTAAAATAAAATACCTTTATGTTTTCTGCCTCAAGAAAGTGACACCAATTCCCTTTGGATTTGGTGCTGTGATGTTATTCCTGTGATGGATCTGTAGTCCTCCGAATTCTGCAGCAGAATTTACAATTGCAAAAAAAGGCTGCACTGGTAGCCTTCTCTTCCACAAGCCTTCTCCCTCTTACACGAGTGTCTGCTTTGGTCTGTGTACTTAGGGAGATTCTCATAACTCAAGGATAAATAGTGGTGTCGTAGTACGTGGGCTCTTTTCTAATAGCCTGGCCTGTATTAATGATAGGCTTTCTTGTAGGGTTTTTTTTGGTTTGGTTTTGTTTTGTTTTTTAGGGGTGGTGGTGTGAGTTTAAAACATACTGCGAAAGTGTGAAATTCTCCACATGACTTCCAGGCAACAGTGATACAATATGATTGCTGTCGCCTAATCTGTTTCATTGTGCTTTCTTCATCCTTTAAGTAGACAGGATTAGAGAGTTTTAATTTAAAACATGCAGGTTTTGCTATGCATCCAGTTAACCTTTTTCCTCTCAGTGAGCCTTTGCCTATGCCAGTGATCTTTCCAGATCTAAGTTAATTTACCTAACTGAGTCTCCTTAATTTGCACTGCTGTTATATTGGACAAAAAAAGAATCATTCCATCTGCATATTTTTTGCTGTAATGAGCATACCATGGACTTGACTTATCCTGATTTCCAAAAATGAGACAAATTAAATCCTTGTCTCCTTTTCTGTCTCCCAAAATACCAGTGAAAGTTAGCTTTGGCAGCACTGGAGCCTCTTGTGCATCTTTATATAAAGAGCAAGTTTACAAATGATTTGTTAAAATTCTGAGAGCTAGCTTTAGCTTGGTAAGAATTACTGTCTCTCTGATTGGGTTGTCATTAGTAATAGACTGTGTTGGAAGTCCATGAATGAACTGTGTACCTGAAAAGTTCTTGCTTACAATGTTGATTCTTTAAAGGTGGTATTTCTACTTTGAATTACCAACTTGTCTACAAAGCTAGAAAAATGTTTTGTCCCATTGTTCATCAAAAAGACCTAGATAACACCTCAGCTTTTGTGTCTGTTGTGCCTTTTTAGAAATTCCTCTCTTTGAAAGTGGCATTTAAGGGACAGGCAAAAAAAGCTATTGCATTCACAGAAACTTAGCGCTCGTTTTAATTGTATTTTGAAACCACAGTGTATGAGGGTGTATTTATGGTATTATTTTGCCGTTTTATTCAGTAAACAAAAATCGTGCAATTCTTAATCAACTTTTAGGATTTCAGTGTTGAATGTGTAGTGTTTTGTGCCATCTGGTGGCTCTTTCTTTCCACTGCAACAGATGGCAGATTAGTAACTTCTTTTTATAGTAGCTGTGAAAGATGTTTTACTGTCCTGTGGCTCAGTTTCATTTGATGGTTCAGGAAAACAGGTTTTGGTATGTTCCAAGTAAAATAATCTTATGTTTGTATTCCCTGCAGCCTCAGATTGTTCTGGGTGGTACTGCACAAACAACTACGTTGGGGACAGCAACAGCTGTACAAACTGGAACTCCTCAGAGAACAGTGCAAGGAACAACGGCAACCTCCACTGCTGCCACAGTAAGATACTGAGTGCATTTAGAATCTTTTTTTGTTCATTCACATATACCTGTGTGCATGTATGTGCATGTGTACATATATATATACACATACACACAGATCAGAGTGGAGAGTAGTAAAGATTCTGTGAATAGTTCTGTGAACTATTGAAAAGGTAAACTTTCAGTAGAACCATATAATTTACAAAGTGTGAACACAGGTCACTTGAGTTTTGATGGCTGTCAAAGTATTAATTTTGATTTCTGTAACAGTTTGTAAAGCACTCCTTTTTTTAAAACATATTAGCTGTATCTTATAGAAAAGCGAATTGTTCAGCACTGCAGAGTAGAATCAATTTGAGAAGGGATAAGAAGTTTGCATGGATTCATTCAAGATGCATGTTTCCAGGACTGCACAACAGGGAGAATCCATGTGCTGGGAAGGAGCAGCTTTGCTATTTGGTGTCCTGCTAAAACGCGTATTTTCCCATACACAATGTGCCATTCTTAAAATACTTTGTGTTTCCTAACTTCATTCAGAATCATAATTTATTAAATTTTGATAACAAAAATGTACAATACATATGTATATATGAAGCAAAATACTAATTTCAGTCTGATTATGTCTTAAGTGGTGAGGGACGTGAATCTATAAATAATATTCTGCAGTGGTGAACTAAAGAAGGACTTTATTTCTCTGAGTATACAGTCAGAACATTTATTAAAAAGAGTTTTTCTTCCCTTCTCTGACTGTTTCCATTCTACCCCTCCTCCTCCCATAACAGGAAACTATGGAAAATGTGAAGAAATGCAAAAACTTTCTGTCCACATTAATAAAACTGGCATCATCTGGAAAACAGTCTTCAGAGACTGCGGCTAACGTGAAAGAATTGGTACAGAACCTGCTGGTAAGAAAAGTTCATGGAAAGCTGTAAGAAACAGTATCTAGGCAAATTTAGACTCAAAACTGTGGGGTCTTTTTGGAGAGGAGGAAGATTATTAAATGTGAGATAAATCAAATTGAAACTCTGCTTCTTCTGAATTAGAATATATGCATAAATTTTCCTTTAAGCTTGTAAATGATGAGACATTACTGCTCATATTCATGCATGAGAACATGAGTTAAATTGAAGTGCGAGTAATGTAAATGTTGACTCTTTAAATTCTACATTTTTTATTGAGAAAACAGTGAATAAAAAGATGAATTATGTACTTGAGGGAAGACACTACAGCTAGTGCAATAGCTGAGTGTAGGAAATCACAAGTTTTTACAAAAAAAAAGTGAGTAATATTATCTGAAGCTAATGTAAAAGCTTGATATACTTAATATTTAAAGAATGAGTACTAGTATTGCTTAGCCTAGTTATTAGCAACCTTTAAGTTAAGGTAGAGCTGTGTATTCCAGATGTTATCACGTGATAACCGGAGGTTGTCACAAGACCAAAATTCAAAGTGTATCTTCCCATGAGGGATATACATTTAGTTTTGTGAGAGACATCTGCCTTTTGAGCATATGGTGGGCACAACTTCAGTTATTTGAAATGGAGGAACTATAGTACCTTTGGAAAAGAGAACACCAGAGAGAGGGCTGCCTGGCTGTTCTGAGCAATTGATAGGTGGATGATTGCAGGTCACGTGAAGTATTTCTGTAGGTTCCACCTGGCTCTTTGATCTACAGATAGGACATTCCTGTAATGGTGAGAACAGCTGAAGATGTTTCTTAAAATTGACTGAAAGACAGGAAGAGGAAAAGGAAGGATGGGACTGTAGGTCTTACTAGTTGAAATTTGTAGTAAAATTAGTTACTACCATAAAGCTATTGATAACTAAAAATAGTGAGGGATACCGCTTATTCTCAATAAATTGTTAAGTCTTAAATTTTTTTGGTGTTGACTATCTGTAAAAGTTAATTTCTACAAGTTTGTTAATTTGGATTTTCTGTTTTGAAGGATGGAAAAATTGAAGCGGAAGACTTTACCAGTAGGCTGTACAGAGAACTTAATTCTTCACCTCAACCTTACCTTGTGCCTTTCCTGAAGGTAACTTGTGTTCACTAGTCCTTATGTATTTCTGTGCTTACGTATCAGCAGCAATGAACATAAGCACATCTCTTACCAGTATAGATGGAATTCCAAAATGGTATAAATGGAAATTTTAAATGGTGCCTGGTTAGACTTTTGCTCTCTTAAAAAAATATTTCTGCCTCTTGGTTCGAAGAGTTTGTGAGTATGATTCATTGGCACAGTCAATAATGTAATTTCTACCATAGTGTCACATCATAGCTCTTTTGAGTAATCTGAAAAGTTTTTTCTTTCTGTGACTTACAAGCAGTTTCTTTCCATAGCACCAAACCTATGAATTGATTTATTATCCTCTTTTTAGTCTTGGAAAGAAAACAAGGGATTGAATGATACAGAAAACTGTACCTTCTGGACAAACTCATACTCTTTTGCCAGTGCTGTATACCTGTTTGTATGGATAAACAGGAAATGTGTCACCTCTCAATAATAAATCCCATTTGTCATAAATTTTATAGCAGTTGGACACATCTCAAAATAATGTTTATTCTGAAACATTTATCATCTGAAAATCAGAGAAAGTACAACATCACTGTATGGTAAAAGTATAACTCTGCTTGACTGAATTATGATTAAGGGATATAGTTGTAGGTGTGTGCTGACATTTCTGGGTTCTTAAATGCTTGTTCAACCTTGAGCTGTTCATGAGGACAAAAATTGTTACCATAAGAAGACAACTTATGTAAGACTCCAGTAAAACACTGTGGTCTTTGTTGAGCTGTTCTGAAATCTTCACCAGTGTTCCAGTGTCTTTTAAGCCATCACGTATTATCGCTTGGTATATATGTAGGAATACAATTGAGGAAGGCAGCAGCATGGGCTTGGATTGTTAAGTACTATCAGGGGTTCCAGATAGGCTTGCATAACCTAGATGCCCATGATATCCCAGCTTCCACACTGAAGTTACCATCACCCTGTCTAGCTTTAAATGTGAAGTAGCATGGTATTTCTGTGTGCGCTGCTATCATGTTTTCTCAGGTGCACACAGACTGATACAATGGACTGAAATGAAATGCATTGCTTCTTGCAATTAATGTTTTCTTGTGTGATCTAGGATTAAAATACTCAAGCAAATTCTTTCTTTTCCTCTTTTCAGAGGAGTTTACCTGCCTTGAGACAGTTAACACCAGACTCTGCAGCTTTCATTCAACAAAGTCAACAGCAACAGCCAACAACGCAAGCAACGATAGCAACAATTCCATCTGCGGCGGTGCTTCTAAGCTCCTCAGTTCAGCGCACAGCAGGGAAGGCGACTGCAACTGTAACGAGTACTCTCCAACAACCTGTAATCAGCCTAACTCAGCCTACACAAGTTGGTGTTAGTAAACAAGGGCAGTCTACACCACTGGTATGTAAGCTGAAGTGCATCATCTGTTACTGCACAGGGTTTTTTTGATAATACAGTGACTCTTCTTAAATTGGTGGTTTAGCTCAATCAGAGATCTTTGACCTCTTGAGACAAACTATCTACTAAGAAAAGTATAATTTAAAATCCATTCTTGATTAAAGTGCTATATTATTTCCTATTGTAGCATGAAATATTGGCAGATTGTCTCAATCACTGCATATCCATGAGAGAGCAGTGTTCTGGAGGATCTTTCATTCCCCGTTTCATAAATCTAATGACAGATTACCCCAAAAGAGGAGAAAGAATAACTTTCTCAGGCCTGCACATAAACCAAAGAACAGTATAATGTGTAGCACCTTTTTTTCCTCTTCTCATAGCAAAGCAGTGTCTGAGTGTAAGCTTTTTCTAGGATGTGTATTAATTAATATACATTATTAAATTACTAGGGTTTTTTTGCTACTTAGTACTTCAATGTTCCCTGTAGAACGTTTGGCATTTATCTAAGCTGCTCTGTCCAGAACTTTTCATATAAAATGAAAAGGAGAGATCTCTTTTGTCAATCCACAAATATTTTTCACTTACCTTGGGAGAAAAACTAGTGATTGTATTGGTCTTACTGTCTTTATAACTTAGGTATTATAGAAGGAGGTTAGGAACCTAGGGAAGGAATAAAAACTGAACATTGACTAATTAGTGCTAGATTTACAAGAAAATAATTTGGCCTTTAACTTAAATATATGAAGTAGTAGCAAAAGTAGCAAAAGACAGACTTGCAGAGTTGGAGAAATGGAGCTTGCAAAATGGGCAGAGTTGTTAGATTTCTTTGCAGTAGTTCGAAAGTAAGTTTCTGAAAACTAGTTGAGGCCAGAAGACGAGTTTGCATAAATGGCTCTGATTGTAGCATTGCGATGTAACCCTACTTTTATGAGTTCTCGTGCAGAAGCCGTATGGCTACAGTTGCCTGAGACTCAGTCTGACCTAACAATGCAACAGTACAAAGCTACACAGCTGTAGCTTATGCTGGTTCTGGATGAAAACAGCAGATGTAGAACCAGCTGGATTATCTTTATTGTGTCTCTACTATTTTTAGTTTTAGAGTTTGTTCAGGCAGATCCAGTTTGCATCTGTATCTCTAATGTAGAAGCCACATGTAGAAAGTTTTAACTGGACCTTTGTGATTATAGATGTTTGTTGTTTGTTTGGTTTTTTTAATAGAAAGGTACTTTTTTGTATCACACAAAGTGGAATATTTAGTTTTCCTGTGAAGTATAATTTATATAAAGAAACTTTTAAATACCTTAAAATGTGCTGATTTTAGATCAATGAACAGATGTGATAAGATCACAGATAAGTTGACTGTAGGGTTTGTTCTTCCCACCTGATTCTTAGCCTTAGTTATTTCTCAGATTGTTTACAGTTCTCTTTTTCTTATTATTTGTAGGTTATCCAACAGTCTCAAAAAGCAGGGGCATTGATAAGGCCTCCACAGGTAACGTTGACACAAACACCAATGGTAGCATTGCGGCAACCACATAGTCGTATTATGCTCACCACTCCTCAAATTCAACTGAATCAACTTCAGACAGGTAAGAGGTCAAGATACTTGGTATATGCTGTATTTGATAGCATTAACTCAAGTCTGGTTTATGAATATCAGTTCTTAAGTGCCCTGTAGCTGTATGATGGCTGTTGTACTACTGCTAAAATCTTCAGTGCATAGTGCCGTAGTGGCTGGGGATATGCATATGGCAGCATTTAGTCAGAGAAATTGTTTGGGTACTGGCATGTGTACGGAGGATCCTGTTTTAGATCCTGTTTTAGATGGGTGAGACGCTGACAGAAACTATTGAGGTAAAGTCTTTGCACCAGACCTATTGCCATTACTACCTGTGACTGTCTTGTAAATCTGAACTCTCATACAAATTTGATGGAGTACAAATCTTGTCTTTCTTCTTTCAGTACCTGTGGTAAAACCAGCAGTATTACCTGGAAACAAAGCTATTGCCACTGTTTCGACACAAGTAGCTGCTGCTCAGAAGAATAAACTGAAAGAACCTGGGGGAGGCTCTTTTAGGTGAGGAACCGTATGCTTATTTGTGCTTGTGTTGCCTGGGCAGGCTGCTGAACTCAGTGGGAACTTTTTTGTGTACTCCAGTGGTGTTGAATCAGGCTGGGTAAACTCACAAGAACTAGAGGTGTATTTTCTGTGGGTAGGTTTGCTACTTTATTAAAGACTTCAACAAACAGCTGTGGACATACTTGTGCCAGACTGGTTTTAGCATTTAGCTGGTGTTAAGGATAAATATCAAACCTCACAAACAATTCCTGCTTGGACAAGCAAATAGAATTCATTCCTTCACTCCTCCCAACTTTGCTCGGGTTATTCGGATATACAGCCTGTTTTACAGTGATGAGTGCAGTTTATTATTGTTTTGTGGTAGTGATGTGTCTGGTGTTGAAACATTACGTAAGAAAGGATCTTGAGAAGACAGTTAGGAAGTACAAAACTGCAATAATACTTTTAGTGCTCTTTGGGATCAAATTATGTTAGTTTTATTTTATTATATAATAAAAGCAAATAAAATGCAAAAATGAAATAAATATTATATAGTAATAAATATGAATAAAACCAAAAATAAATATGAATAATAAAAATGAGTAAAGTGTTCAGGTTTACTGTGGAATTCATTATTTGCAGCTGTGGTATTGTAGCAGTGTGTGCAGATAAGCACTAAATGTTATGTTTATAATGAGTTTTCCTTTCTTAAGGGATGATGATGACATTAATGATGTTGCGTCAATGGCTGGAGTCAACCTGTCGGAAGAAAGTGCTCGGATATTGGCAACAAACTCTGAGCTAGTGGGCACATTAACAAGATCCTGTAAAGACGAAACCTTCCTTTTCCCGGCACCTTTACAAAGAAGGATATTAGAAATAGGTATGTTGATTTTTCTTGAACTTTAATAAACAAATTTCACTAGTCTTGGGTTTAATTGAAGGCATTTTCTATATAAATTGGTTTGAATAGTTTAAAGTTGCTGGAGTCGTTACCTTTTGTATATTCTGATGCTTGTGGGCAATCATTCAGCTTATGAAAATAGAATAGTGTTAAGGGATAGCAAACCTATAGAGTTGCCTTCTAAAATGATGGCAATTTAACATCAAAATTACTGGACCTGGTTAAAATTCTGACTGTATAAACTGATAAGGCATAACAAAAATAATTACATTTGTTTTTTAAAAAATAAACCCAGAAATACTTTTATCATATTTACTTGTTTAGAATTGATGGTAGAACAAAAAGAATTCTTCAATTATTTGTTATTCTGTAGTATACAGCATTTATTAATAGATTGTAAATTTTCTTAAGCTAATGTAAATTTCTATATGTATGCCATTTCCTGTTTAATGCTTGTTTGAGAAATACCTGAAAGCCTTATTTTGCAAACAGCATTTCCATGACTGAGATTAGCCACATGTTTAGCTGTATTGTAAAATCATTTTTTACAACTGACTTCTGTCCTGATCATAGGTAAAAAACATGGAATAACAGAAATCCATCCTGATGTAGTTAGCTATGTATCACATGCTACACAACAAAGACTACAAAACCTCGTGGAAAAATTATCAGAGACTGCTCAACAAAAGAATATTTCTTACAAGGTAACTGTATTTAATTACACAAATAAAATGGCAAAATTGCACAAATTCAGCAGGCTATCATGTTGGCTGTAATGCATGAGTTCAGGTGTTCTTCATTCTGTGAAGTCAGGTTGTTTATTCTCTTTGTCTGATTCATCTTATATTAAGATATTAATACACATGGTTGACGAGAACTCTTCAGCTTGCATATACAAAATGTTTTTAAAACAAATGCAGAGAACCTGTGCCCTCCCTTTTATTGTGTCAAATGTTTAGAGTCTGAGTGATTGTACAATCAGATAGGCAGACAAAAGCCCTGCTTTGAATTCTCAAGAGACTGCTATCTGACAGATGTGTGTTCTTAATATATGCAAATGCCTAAACAGCATTTAAAAAAACCACACAGCTCTGTGAAATATGTTTGTGAGGTTAAAGCTGTGATTATATTAGTTTAGAAGTCAAAATCTGATGATTCATGGAATAGAACAAAATGCTTTTAAGAATTCTAGCTGGTTTGACTGGTGTAAATACACACTTGCTATTTGTTTGAAAAGGACAAAGTGAACATTTGAGCTTTAAATGTATATGTTCTTCTACAGTACAGTACAAGCTAACAGCTTTGTTTTTAAGAAATGTAATGAGAAACATATTTGCTCTGTTTTCAGGATGATGAAAGATACGAACAAGCAAGTGATGTTCGGGCACAGCTCAAGTTCTTTGAACAACTTGATCAAATAGAAAAGCAGCGTAAAGATGAACAAGAAAGGGAAATTTTAATGCGTGCAGCAAAGGCAAGTGCTTGGATTTCACACATGTTTGCAAAGTGTCATTTTTGACGTCAAAACTGCAGAGTTTCTTTTCATTCTAAAGCACTTGCAGGGCTTGCAGGGGAAGACTCTAATCTTCAAAGGTGGAGCTTGAAGAATACGTTCTTTAGCTAGAGCTCTGTTCTGCTTTTCATGGTAAAGCACGTGAGACAGCTTCTTTGCCAGTCTCATTGCATTTTCCCAAATTAAAGTAGGTCTTAAAACTTAGTTTTTGCACTTTGCATTGTGAAAAAGATTAATTTTATAGCTTGGTGGTACTCTTAAATGGAATAGAGAGGTTACAGGTATTTTGGAGACCAGAAATAGAATTCAGAAAGATTTTTACCAGTTGGAGAACTACAGTAAATAGGAAGCAGTTGATGTAAGTACAAATGTAAGCATTAGACTTTGTGGTTTTACTCAGTGACCTGAATATAGGATAGATATGACTAACTAGGCAGGAGCACTCTAGAAATAGTTCACAATACAACCTAAGGTTTCTATTGGGTTTGTGATCCGGTATGAGTTGATAATGTCAAAATCCAATTCTTTTAGTGCAATGTTCTCAAGTTAAGTTGTGAACTAACACCTTCATTTCAGTTGGTTCCTGTTAGACCTGAGCTGGAATACTCTGTCCAGTTTTTGGGCCCTACACCAAGTAGACTGCAGTAGGAAAGCAATTTAAAGGTCTGGAAAATGTGACCTATGAAGTAAGATTAGAGAGTAAATCCATTTACTGCAGAAGAGAAAAGACTGGGGTGAAACATAAGTCTTCATGACTGTGTTTTGCATATTCATGTAATTCCCTGTGTTTGCGCCTAAAGTGCAGCAGGGAAGACATAGGTTAATCATTAGGAAAAACTTAACATTTGAGCACTGGATTAAAATAATTTATTTTGCAGATGGTCTATAGAATGTAGGGGATTAACAACAGTCAGGATTTGTTTGAATATAGTTTTATATGCTGCTTTATATGAGAGTATGGATGAAAGACTGTCTTGAAGTTCTTCCTGTTTTTTGTTTGTTGACTTCTTGGAAAAAACAAGAACCTAATAGAATTGATATATGTAGCAAAAAAAATTAATTGGTAAATGTGTGTTAATAGTATTAGACAACAACGTTTGCTGAAATTATATGTGCTGTTACTTCTAAAAGTATGATATATACAGGTAATTGTAGGTGCCTAAGTGAAATGGGCAATTGCTAATGTAAACGGTCTGTTGGTCAGTTAGCTGCAGTTTGTTCAAATGCGAGTCTGACTTGGATGTGTAGGTGCAGCAGAAAGGTATGTTCTCAGTAGGTGCGTAGTTACACAGCAACGGGAGGAATTTTTCCAAAAAGTACAGGTCTGATTCCTTTTTTTCATATGCAAAGTGTGTGTATTTCAGTTCAGATCTGTGTAATTTGTGTCTTGTAATGGTTTTGTTTAAGGCATAAATGCTTAGCTATTCCTTTGCTATTTTTAACAAAGCTGAAAAAGGGAATATTTTTCAAAAATAGATACTTGAAACTAAGAAATAGAAAACTGCTTCTAATTTTTAAAAATGATTTTCCCCTGTTGCCCTCTGTGGGAGTGGTAGGTATTCTCCATTTTTGCTGAAGTTTAAGAAAAACTTTCATATGCTGTGTCAAACTTAGGATCTTTAACTGCTTTTGTAACTGAATTAATTTTTCTTTCTTTTTCTGCAACCATTCCATGTTCATCCTTTATCAACATAGTCTCGATCTCGACAAGAAGATCCAGAACAGCTTAGGTTGAAACAGAAGGCCAAGGAAGTAAGTGTTCACCTTAACGTGAATTTTTATTTCGGAAATTGAAAGAAAAATGATTAACTGTACTTGTTCTGGCAAATGCAGATGCAGCAACAAGAGCTAGCACAGATGAGACAGAGGGATGCCAACTTGACTGCATTAGCTGCGATCGGTCCCAGAAAGAAAAGGAAAGTAGATTCACCGGGATCTGGATCAGGGACAGAGGTACAGTGTAACTGTAATCTTTGGTTTTGCTGCATTAGCCTCTGTAAAAACCTTTCTGTTCAGAGCTTTTTCCCTAGTTTGTGGAAGCTTTCTGAGTGGCAGAAGTGTATTTTGTGTGCAGATTTGCTTGCTCCAAGGCCGGGATCAATTTTTAGCATCTGTGTAGTGGCATAGGGAATAAAACTTGTCATTCCTTGATTCATGGAACTGGAGGAATGTTACAAAAGCCATCGCTGTTCTCTCAAGTCTCTGCTTTTTTGGACCTGCATAGTTTTGGGAAGAGATTGCTGTGGTTGTAACCAATCTAAGTGAGAAAGAGTGCAGAGTAATGCTATTGAGGTGGGTGCAGTGGTAGAATTGAATCGCTGCTAAATTTGACACCAGGAGCTTCAGGTTATAGGAACTTGCTAATTTCTTTCTTCAGCTGTTGATTGGCCTTAGCTTTAGTATCTCTACAGCAAATGAGTTTAACCAATTCCATCTGATTATGATGTTCTTGCATATACTTTGTATATTCTACTGTTTAATCTGGCCTTTTAAAAATTTCTCTGCAGACTAATTATCAGTATGCTCAGTATCTGATTAGTTTAATGTTAAATTAAATTCAGGTAGGTTGGTAGACTACTGTATTTCTAAACAAGATAATAAACATGAAATGGTATAAAATTGCTTTCTGCATGGAAGACATTCAATGTGGGATTTCTCTAGTGTTTAAAAAGAACAAAATCTTCTTGAAACTTGTCATTTACAGGGCCAAAAGCTCTCCTTATTGCTTGAGGATTTTTCCCTGCAGAGTTTTGTGTCTGATAACAAGTGACAGGATAGTAATAGTTTAATAATTCCGTTTATTACTGCCTGAGCATTCCAAATTTTTAGTGCTAAAAGATTTATACTGTAGAAAAGCCTCTTGTTTCAAAAGAATTCACCTTGTTTTTTGCTGAATTGCTAGAAGCAATAATTTACATATACTTGATATAAAATGTTAGAGAACAATCTGATTACTAGTAAATGTTATATTTATTTATAAAAAAATCAAGCCTCTTGAGCATCTTTTAAAGTAATTTTGACTTTAGAAATTTACTAAAATGCCTGTTACTGATAATAAGACTTATTTTTATGTAAGTTAACAAATTACTATATTAAAGGTTTATAAATGTGGTTTAAAATTACAAAAATTGCAGAATGTGGCACTTCTACAAAGATAGATGTGTATATAAATGAAGTCGTCTCTGAGGAATATGCTGAAGTATCTCATGCAGCGTTAATGTTGGCATTGCTACTTACGTATGCTCAACTGTGCAACGTTAATAGTCTGTTAATGTCACTTAGGTTATGGAATGCATTTTACATCTACTGTGAACACTTGTTTGTATTTCATCTAAATCTGACTAATTTAGTTATCCTAGATTAATCACTTACTGGTTAACCAATTAACTACAGGTTCCCTGGAAATCTAATCTTTTTGTCTGTTTAATTAAGAACCAGCTGCTTTTGATCTGATAGACTCACAGCTGTGCTTTTGCTGCTGTGTCACTTGACATTTTTAAATTGAGCTCCACTTGTCACCATTTGTATGCAGTTTGTAGTTAAGGCATATTACAAGAAGTGTGGAAAATAAGGTTTGTCATTACTTAGACACAGATTTGTAAATGTAAGCTTTTGATGTCTAGGAATGCTGAATCTTAATTACATGTAAAATCACTTCTAAGTAGTAATTGTACTGTTTTGTTTCAAAATTTAACCAAACAGGTTGCTGTCAGTTTTAGTTTTATGTCCGCGTGGTTGTATTGAAAATTGCCAAAAAAGCTTCTTGACTTATTCCATGCCTACAGGAGTAGCATAGTTCTGTGTCTTTAAAGACTCCTGGAGTTTTACCTTTGCATTTGAAGTATTATAGTCTACATAATAAAATCAGGCTTGAGCTCCTACTACAGAATATTTTAAAAAACCCCAAAATTAAAACCATTTCCAACCATTCTTTCTATTGTCTTGTTAGGAGTCGTATGTATGTATTTGACAAAATTTAGTTAGCATCCAATGTGCTCCTGCATTTTCTAATTTCCATTGAAGTTGGTGGAAATGAGGCATCTAAGTTGTGCACATGCCTTAAAATATCCCTTTGAAAATCCAGCCTTTAAACTGTTCTAATTGCAGGATTTCAATGATTTGATGCTTGCTGGTTCAACAGGTAACTTGCTCGAGAAACAAAAGTCTGACTTCACCGTTAGTGTGGTGAAGCAAGAACACCTGCACTGAATGCAGTATACTACTAACCCAGAGATGGTAATTTCCAGTGCAAGTTTAGATTGGTTTCTTAATCAATAATGTACACAGAGCATAAATATACTACTTTTACATGTAGAGAGGACTACATGTATTAGTGTGAACCTCAGCAGCTTGTTCACATGGCTTTTGCACTACTATAAATTTTGGCTCTTCTCAAGTCTGGGGTATTCTTATTTAGAACAGTCTTTTAAAATTCTCCAAACTCTCAGGCAGATAAATCTTTATTCACTAGTGGAGTGTGTTTGGACCTTCTGGTGTCACTAAGTATTGAAGTTCCATTAAAAAAGAAGAGAAATCATTATTCTAGTAAATGAAATTGGAGGAAAAAAAGAATCCATAGATAAGACACAGAAATCTAGCCTGTTCCCGATCACTCGGAACACCTTCATTATTTACATAAATACACAAAGAGCAAGGTAGCAGCAAGAGGCAACTGCCAAAAAGATTCCAGACTTTAAAATTCGAGGTGAAAGTTGGCTTTTTGGTCTCTGCATGCCATCTACTGGTGACTGGGCATTACTGCTGCCACAGGCGAGGAGGAGCAGGGAGGCTGCTTCAGAGTGGTTTCGGTCACTGCTGTTCTGAGCCATGCTGCTCTTTAGCTATCCTTGCTGGACCGTGCCCTTCTGCCAGCCTCAAGCCAGACTGCACCCCTCTTACTACTGAAAAAATGTTTCTGCTGCATGTGCACAGGATGTGATCAAATCCCAGTCTTTACTGGAAGAGGCACCTTGTCACTTTTTTTCCTGCTGATTCTGATGGCTGATGACTTTAAAGCACTCCAGGATTTCCTTGCTTGTATAAAGGAAAGCATAACAGTCATGGGAGAGTTGCATTAATTGTGTGTATCCTATCAGAACTGTGTTTTCTGCAAGTGAAAATGCATTGGACGCAGCCCCAGCAGACTTGCTTTATAACTCACTCACCAGGCAGTGTATATATAAACAGCTGAAGGATGTGGGTATCTCTAAAGATATTGAATGATTTTTTTTTTTTCCCTCCTGTTTTTTTTGAAGTGACAAATATGATAATATACTACTTGTTTATTTTGCCAGTTTGTGTGGAAAACTACTAGTGTGTACCAGAGGGATAAGTGTTGCTGAATGATGGAGAAGAATTCAGAGGTCATTAGAGAATATCTGGCTGTGTCTAGGATAGCTACTTCTTAATATAATCCTGAGCTTGGTTACAGCTGTTGTCACCAAAAGGAGAGCTCATAGCACCCTACCATGAAGATCAGGGGGAATCTGGGATGTTATTCAAGACCTCACGGTCTGGGGGGATAGGACTGCTCCCCAGTTCTTCAAGAAGTCTAGGGCTACCCTTGGGATCTGTATGCCGATATTGTGAAGATTACTGTCTCTTCTGTTTGTTTTGGTTGTTAGGATTGCCTATCATTAGTGCCTTCCTAAAGATAAGAGCAATGCTTTGGGGTTTTTTTTGTCTATATTAAATGTCACTGAAAACTTCTGATTGTTCAACTACTGTTTATAAATAAGAATTAAAAAGAAATCTCTGATCTGGTAGCATACAGCATACTGTTTGATAGCTTCCTGTACATAGTCACTTAGTTCTCACCTTGCATGTTTTCTCTGAAAAGTTTTGGAATACCAGCACTGACATGTTTTGATTTATCTGTTCTTCTCATTTCCAGGGATCTGGTTCAAGTGCAGCAGTCCCAGGCAGCTCTGGAGTTGGAACAACCAGACAGTTTACGCGACAAAGGATAACGCGGGTGAACCTCAGGGACCTCATATTTTGTTTAGAAAATGAGCGAGAGACAAGCCATTCACTATTGCTATATAAAGCATTCCTTAAGTAAAATGGAAAAGATCAAGGTATTTTTGACGGAGAGACGCCTGAGGACATTTTTTATATATTTGCAAATTACGCCTTTTTGTAACAAGCAAATGGGATATTGTTTAAAAAACAACCACCTCTTTACATGGAACAGTTTTATATTCCTGTTTATAAATAAACTCTTCAGTATAAGAGAAATACATTTCTGTAACAGTGAGGATACTTACAAGGCCTGTGGATACTATAAAAGGACAATTAAATTTTAACTCATCTCTTGATTGAGTGGCCTTCTTGCCAAACAAGCCATATATAAAGACTGATGGAATCGTTTAGCAAATAACTAGCTACCCTTTGTCAGCCCTGTAGCAGTTTCGACATTAATTGTGCATTTTAGTTCAGTTTTATTCAACTAAATCAATTATATAGGCATATGTCTACAGCAGATGACCTCATTTCATTTAGCTTTTTTTTAAACAGTCAGTTAGCAAAGCAAACTGATTTTTTAAGAATATTTATCTTTCCCCAAAATGTTCAAAATCTAGAGGGATATACAGTTAATTTTAAACATAACCTCAATTTTAATCACATTATTGCTTATTAGAGGCCCTGAAATCCCATAAAGGAGGGTTACTTCTGAATGTTTTAGCAGCATCTGTAAAAATGCATTTTATTTGCTATAGTTTGTAAAGCTGTAAAGTTAAAAAAGGAAAAAAAGGAAAAAAAGAGAAACCTTTTCAGCATAAATATATTTTACTTGCACTGTGTTTTTTAGCTAAAGTGAAAGCTTAGATTAAATAAAATCAAAGTTGAGAGGAATCATCAAAAGACTGTTTCTCAGTGTGAATCAAGTGTTGAAAAATGGTTGGTGTATTTTGTCAGTAATTGTACATAATTTTTGGCACATAACATAAAAATGGCTATGTAAACTATAATTATTTTGCTAAAAGACTGTATGCAAGCTGTGGGCCTACTTTAAAGATGTCCAGAGCAAAGTCCCTTCTTTGTACCTATTTTTTTATTACAAATATACTAATTGGTTCTTTATATTTTCAGAGGTTATTGTATTAAATTGTCTATTGATAGTACTTTTATGACTGTAAATACTTTGGCTTTCTTTGTGTGAACTCTCATGGTAGAATTTAACTCTCTTGCGTGTAAACTGAATGCTGATCAGTATTTTTATCAACACCTGACAACTGTTACACCCCTTTTATTTTGTCTTTTAGGAAATCCTGTCTTACCATTTTTTTTTCATGTAAATTTTGCACAGTTACTTGTTCATATGTAAATATTTTACTTTCAAAAATGAAGTTTTTAATTGCTATTGTTTTATATAGGATTGAAAGAAAATTAACTCCTTTATTAAAAACAAATTTATCTGTATTTGCTAATGTATTTTTCTCTCTAAACCTTTTCTCCTCTTGGATTTATTTTTCTTGGTACAGTAAAAGATTAGTCTACCTGAGGGGATGCTGTTTCCTAAAGATGCACTTTGGTTTTTTTATATTGTTTTGTCAGTGTTTTGAAGGTATGTAACTTTTATGAATCTTGAAATTTCATTGTTGTCTTAGGGGTCTTGGACAAAGATCAATGGATGGTGGGTTTTGTTTTGTTTGTTTTTTAAGCAGGGAAAGTTTCTGAAGAGATCTTAAAAGTATTTTGGTTTTGTCTAGTGAAGGTTTAATAAAACACCCTCTCCTTGAGGGCAAGCTACTCCCTCAAACACAATTAACTGCGGTGGTTTTCAGAAGAAGGTGTGACATAAAACACCGAATTTGGGGCACATCTATAAAAGAATATAATCAGGGACACACTTTTGATTATTAATGTGAAAATCTGAGAAGGTGTATTTCTGATGCTCTGTACTGAATGTTTAGCTTTTGTTTTTTGTTTTGTTTTGTGTTGGTTTTTTTTTTTTTAATTCCCCCTCTCGTGGGCAACTTAAAAATAATAGTTCACAATTGTGAGGGCCTAATCCTGCTATTAGATTAATGGAAAAATCACATTAATTTGATAATTATTTCTAGCATACAGACAAATCTATCTACAGGCTACTATACCAAGCACACTACTATTGAACTGGCACTCAGCCCGGCACTGACTTGGTCCACGTGAAGAGACCAGTTATCTCTGAAAAAAATGGATTAGCTCCTAAAGTGATGTACTCACCTGACACCATGTATGACACTTACTTGAAGATTTTAATTGTTTGTAAACTCCAAACTGTCTTTCAAATTGTGTAATGTTATTAAGTGGAAAGAAACAACTTTGACTTTTGGCCAAAACATTGTCATAGCCTTCCTTTAATTGTAACAAGTGTTGGTTGTAAATGTTAATCACCACTGACTGTCCAGCGACCGAGCACAGTATCTGCAAAGCTGTGGCAGGTAAGTTGGGAAGAAACTGACCTTCAAGGGTTGCCTCCAATAGCAAGTTGGGGGTAAGACATGTTTGAAAAATTGAGGTTATTACATGGTGTGCTGTACTTCACCCTCCTTCTTCAGTAGAGGTAGTAGCTTAGAAGTAGGCTGGAGGCTGAGGGAGTTGGGAGGAGGGAGAGGTCTTCTATAAGACCATAGCTCTTGGTTTTGTTTTAAATAACACGTTTTTTAAGTGCGGAGTCAGCCCTTTGCTCCATTTTTTCTCAGCTTTTAAAAGTTCCTGTTCTTTTAGTCTGAAAAGCTGACTCCAGTAGTTCAAATTCATGTAATTTTTTGATTGGGTTATTGGCACTTAACTGTATTGTTACAGTGAACACTGCCTCATGTGGCCATTGGCATACTTCTGAGGAGATGTTCTCATGGCAGATCAGTTGTTGACTTTGTGGGTTTCTTTTTTTAATGATAAAAATGGTAACTATTTTTGAAGCTGCTCAGAAGCTTTACATTTCAGAGCAAAGTCATAACTGAGGAGGGGTGGCATTTACAGGGCAATGCATGTGTACAACAGCACTTCTCTTGTGCATTAGTGACCTGTAAAGAGAGAAACTGATTCTTTTCTGGCCCTAAACTTGCACAGCTCCACCAAAGAGTGAAGGTTAACATGCAAGGGAATTTACTGTCCTTTTCCTTCGCCCTCTTTGTCCAAAGAGTGATGCACCTTCTTTGGAGCACCCTCAAAACTGGAGATGCGTGCATTGAAGATTGGCACGGCTGGGAGGCTCTCTCCATGTGTGAGTCTATGATGTTTTATTACACCTTTTTTTTATCACATTCAACCCCGTGTCAGGGACAGGTGGTTTCTCTCTTGCCTGTAAGCTTACCAGCATTTGTGTGTGTGACCTAGAGGTGGGCTCTCTACCCTGTTCTACAGCAGTCTTGATGTCTCTATATTTCTAACACCTTTGATTAGATAGTGCGTAGCTGTAATGTTCCCGAACTATTGATACCATTCTTTTTCTTGCACAAAAATTCAGCAGAACAAATAGGATATAATAAGGCACTCTGGATTCAGCCCGTTTTTTGTATTTCACAGGTGTATAATTAAATAGATACGTTTTCAGGGAACCGATTGAAATATATAGTGAGAGATGCATGCATGAACGCTCTGATAAATGCCATCAAATTCACAGTAATTAAGATTTTATTGGAGATTTTAATCTGATCCAAGAAGCATCCCCATATTTCTGAGACTGTCTAAATTACAAATAATGGTATGAGAAGTCTAACGCAATGATAATTTTAACCATTTTCTTATGTTTACAGTTATTTGTTTGTCTGCAGAGAAGAGTCTTAACTTTTGGGGGTAAGTCAGGTAGGATGGCAGCTTGGTTGGGTCCACAACTGTAGTGACAATTTCAGCAGCAGTGTTTCCCTGGAGTGTATACATAGACCTGCATGTCCAGGTAAGCGTGCAAACCCTTATGCTTGTGAGTTCAAGTTGGGAGGGATCCCTTCTTTAAATACTTCCAGTGTTTGTGCAAGGATTTTTACACATTGGTGCTTTAGGCAAGTGTAAGTCAACTTACTGTATTAAAATACGGTATAAAATGCGGAGAGGAAAAGGCTTAGGTACTCTAGGTTGATCCTAATCTTTAGATTTTTGGAAATGACATGCAAGCAGCACCGTGTATAAGACTGGCTTCTCAGTATTTTGGGATATTTTTTAGCAAGTGATGTTTCCCGGTTTGTGAAAGTTGCCAGGCTGGTAAATTTGGGAGGTATTTGTTGGTTGAAGGGATAAATAGGGAGGACAGCACATTAACGCCTGCTCTGCCCTGCTGACCTGCCTTTAATTTGCCCAACATGTGCCGCCTCTGAAGGCGAGTGTCCAAGTCGTCCCAGTTAGAATATCCTGCAGGCTGCAAATTGGGACTGTACTTCAAATTGCATTTTAATAGCACAGATCAGTCCTCCCCTGCAAAGCTGCTATGGCCAAAACCTGCTCCCTCAACTCTCCCATCACCATCCTGGGTACAGTTTGCACCAGACACCAAGAGGGGCAAGCCGGGACTCCTTTATTTTTGTGTGTTGTTATTACCCAGTGACATACCGAGCTGTGAGAAAGGGAGTAAGTTCTTTAAAACTTGCTTTCAGGAATTCAGTCATGTCCTTATATTCCTGTGGCTCCTGAGAGAAACTTGCTCTGTGCTGCTGCAGATGTGGCAGTGTGAGCGGGAGCTCTGGGCGTGCTGGGGGGAGGCTTCGCGCTTCATAGCTGCTACCTGATTTTACGTTTCTTCTGCCACTTCAGAAATAAGTTTCCTCGTGAAACACGGCATATTTTCCCTTTGTTTTCCTGCTCGGCTTATTTACTGTTATTTTCTGTAAGGAGCTAGGTTGCACCCTTGTTTGGTTTCCTCCTGGGAGTTTCCCTGCTCTGAAGTCAATAGACGACTTGTACAAACAACAGGAGCAGCATTTGGTCTGTGATATGAAACACGCTTCTGTAAAGTACTGAATAAATACATAACAAATCTCGCTTTTACTGCACTGTAAAAGTACTATATGATTTCACATGAGCACTTACATACTTTTCAACCCAATAACAAAATTAAGTGGCCAAAAAAAAGTTGCAAGTGCTTTATAGTTTACCGTAATGCATTTGGTGCTCTAATTTCAAGCAAACACATTGGAGCATTGCCCAATTATTGCAGAATGGGCTTTGAAGAACAATATATCTAATTTCCCAGGAGACCAACGCGGTGATATTTAGATACAGCCCCTTTAAGAGAAAATGAATATCTTAACGTCATCTCAGGCATGTCACCATTTAGCACCCAGGCTCCTTTACTCCACTTCGAGAGGGACAAAGGAAAAATCTGGGTAAGTTGTGGGTAAGGCCCTTCACCTAGAGGTGGAGTTGGTGGGATTGGTCATTCGTAGCTGAGAAATAAGACTGAAGTGCCTAAAAAAAAAACCAAAAAAAAAACCCCAAAAAACCCCCCAAAAAACCCCAACCTAGATGTTCTCACTCTTTTCATACTGATGCACAGCAGTGGTGTGTGATTTGATGTTGTGGGTTTTTTCCTTCATATAGTAGCTTTTCTTCATCCTTCTTATTCTTCTTGAATGGTGGGAATATGTTTTGTGTGTGTATGCTTATTCTTGATGCAGGTATGTCAGGGTCCCTGTTTAGAGCACAGTCCTAAAACAGTTGTGTTGGCAGAGCTGAGAGTGCCGGTGGAGGTGAGCACCGTTCCCATCCAGCTGCTCCCCTCCCCCAAATCCCAGTGGAGGTCTGTCCCTGCAAGGCCAGTTGTGCTGCAGCTTGAACCCAGCAAAACTCCCCAAAACTCCTCAGTTTCCTGATTGCAAAATGCCCAAGAGCTTGTGTGGGTAGGGCTGAGAGCAGGAGCTGGTGGCTGGGGAGGAGGGAATGAGAGACCTTCTGTTCTCCCCAGCCTCGTACCCGCATCAGCAGCCCGGACAGCTGAGATGTGAGGCAGCGCACGGGGATGGGTGAGCTGGAAGATATGAGCAGCTTCACCCCATAGGAACGTGTCTGAAGCTGCCCGTAAATTTAAAAAATACATAAATTTTAAAAAATAGCTAAACCAGGTACCTGGTACCTACACAACACAAAGCACGGCTGTGCGAGCATCCCCCGTCTCCTTGGCAACGGAAACAGGCAGGG